TTTTAAAATTGTGAATTATATATGTAAATTGTATCTCAAAAAGACATACTGCTTGACACATAATACTCTATACTAAAATAAAAAAAGATGAAGTACATTTTTAGACACACAAAGTCTGAAAGAATTAAAGACCAGCATATCTGCATTATAAGAAAAATTAAAGTATTTCTGTCAGATAGACGTATATATTTCTACACAAACAAATTAGGGACTAGAAATGGCAACTCCACGGGTAAGTAAATGTGTAAGAAAACTTTCTCATTGTGTAAATCTCTTTGATGATAAACAAAAATAATGTAATATGAGTATGTATTATATATAATCATATATATGAATGTATATATGCTCATTCATTTTACTGAAATACATATACATATCAGTAAAATGAATGAGAATAGTACAAGGCATGGAAGGAAGAAATAGGTTTTATATTCTATGAAGAGGGGTATACTATCATTTGAAGCTAGATTCAAGTAAGCTAAAGAGAAATACTATAAATCTCAAAGCAATAACTAGCATAATAAAATAGTTATAGCTAATTAACTAACAAATTAGATAAAAAGCAATCATAAAAACATTCAATCCAAAAGAAAGCAAAAAAGAGGAAAATGGAAACAAAGAACAGATGGGACAAATAGAAAACAAATGTCAATATGGTAGAATTTAATCATATCAATAATCACATTAAATTAAAATGGTCTAATCATCCCAATTAAAAGGCAGAGATTATTGAATTGTAAAAAAAAAAGTACTGACTATATTCTGCATAGAAGAAGCACTTCAAATACAAAGACAAAAAATAATTTAAAAGTAAGCAGATTGAAAGAATATACTATGTTAGCAATAATAAAAACAACAAAAATCTGGAGTGCCTATTTTAACATTATACAATGTATTTTCATAGCAAAGACATTACCATGGATTACAAAGGTTATTTATAAATGATAAAGGGGTCATTTTACCAAGAAGTCATGAAAATCCAAAATGATTATGGAACTAATAACAAGAGCTTCCAAATACATAAAGCAAAAGCTGATAGGTTTTCAAAAATAGAGAAATCCACAATTATAGCTGGAGATTTCAATACTGATCTCTCAATAACAGTACAAGTAGTTAGCAATTAGTGAGGATATAGAAGATATGAAAAACACTATTAACCAAATTGACTTCATTGACATTTATAAGGTGTTACACCAAAGAAAGCAAAATTTAGTCTTTTTAAATAGACATCAAACATTTACCTAGATAGATCATATTCTGGGTCATAAGATAAATTCAATAAATTTGTAAGGGTTCCAGTCAAATTAAATATCTCCTATGATCACAATTTAATTATGAATCAGTAACAGAAAGATATCTGAAAAATTCTAAAATGTTGGGAAACTGGATAATACACTTACAAATGACCCATGATCAAAGGAAAAGTAAAAAAGAAACTTGTAAGGCGTTTAAAAATGAATGAAAATATCAGAATTTGTGATATCCTGCTACATCAGAATTTGGACTGAAACTTATAGCACTAAACACCTATACTAGAAAAGATTATATCAGTAACCTCAGCTTCCACCTTAAGAATCTAAAAAAAAAGAAGAGCAAATTAAACCCAAGGAGAAGAAAGTAAACAATTAAAAAAAAATAAGGAAATAGACAAAACCTGAGCTCAAAAACATTATTTGAAAAGATCTAAATGATAAACCTCTCATCACACTGATCAGTGAAAAGAATGAGAAGATATAATTTACCAATATCAGGAATGAGATAAATGGCATCAGTACAAATTCTACAAATGTTAAAAGGATAATATTCTTACCAATTTATTTCAATAAATTCAGTAAATTAGATTAATGGAAAAATTCCTTTAAAAATATAAACACTAAAGCTCACTCAAAAAGAAATGAATAATCTGAATAGCCCTATATCTATTGAAAAAGTTATATTTTAAACACCCCTCACACACAAAAATAGAACCCCAGATTCAGATGGCTACCTTGAATTCTGGCAAAAACTAAAGGAAGAAATACCAATTCTACACAAACATCCAAAAAGTTCAAAAGGAGAGAATATGTCCCAAAGATATCATAGGAAAACCACAGACCAATATTCCTCATGAATGTAAATGCAAAAATTCTTAATATGTAGATAATTCATTCCAACAATAAAAAGGATAGTACATCATGACCAAGTGGAATTAACCTGATCATATATCAAACTGTGAAATTGAAAACTATAACTTCTTGGGAAAAACATAAGGGAAAGATATGTATGCTCTTAGGCTAGGCAGATTTCTTAGATGCAACACTAAAGCATCATCCATAAAAGACAAATAATTGATAGTTCAGACTTCATAAAAAATAAAAACTCTTCCAGGGCCAGTCGAGTAGCTCATTGGTTAAGAGTTGGTTTGGGAGCACGAGCTCTGAGCAGCAGGGCCTCCGGTTTGGATCCCACATGGGCCAGTGAAGCTGTGCCCTCTACAGCTAAGATGGTGAATAACAGCTTGACCTGGAGCTGGGCTGCCATGAGTCGCTGGCGATGGCGTAGGCTGCAGTGGGGCTGCAGTGGGCTGCCTTAAGCTACTGTGAGTGGCCGGCAGCTGGCGTGAGCTGCCGTCCAATGGCCGGCGAGCAACTGCCTCACCCAGGAAGAGCGCTATGATAATACCAACATGGGCCAGTGAAGCGACGTCCTCCACAACTAGATTGAAGAACAAAAGGACAGCTACTTGTCTGTTCCCCTTCCCCAATTCCCCAATAAAATCTTTAAAAGAAAAACTCAAAAACCTCTTTCAAAGACACTGCTAAGAAAATAACACATATCCTAAGAAAGCATATATCCAGAATCTATACTCTCAAATATCAGTAAGAAAACAACACACAGAAAAATCAAATCATTTGAATAGACACTTCACCAAAGAAAATGTATGGATGGCAAATATGAAAAGCTGCTAAACATCATTAGTCATTAGGGATGTGTAAATGAAATCTACAAGATACTACTACAATACTTACTAGAATGGCTAACATGAAAAAGACTATTCCAAGTGCTGATGAGAATGTGATGTAAATGGAACTTCCATACACTGCAGGTGAGAATGTAAAATGGTATATAGCCACTTTGGAAAACTTTTCTAAAGTTAAACATACATTTACCATATAATCCAACCATTCCACTACTATTTACCCAAGAGAAAAAAAAAAAACTTACAAAGGCTTGTATACACGATCAGACAATTCAGTTCGCAAACACATCCTAGAAAAAGTGCTACTACACACCTCATTGCTGAATCACTTCGGTCACCTTCGAAGTACTCCCCTTGGGAAGCTATGCACCAACGCCAGCGCCTAGTCCACCCTTCAAAGCAATTTTGGAGCTTTTTCTGGAATGAACATCAATGGAATGAACATACCCTTGATGTCCTGAATATCATGTCTTCCTTTCAATATTTCCTTTATCTTCAGGTAAAGAAAGAAGTCATTGGGGGTCAGATCAGGTGAGTAGAAAGGGAGTTCCAATAGTTATTTGTTTACTGGCTAAAAACTCCTCACAGACAGTGCTGTGTGAGCTGGTGCATTGTCATGATGCAAGAGCCATGAATTGTTGGAAAAAACTTCAGGTTGTCTACCTTTTTCACACAACCTTTTCAGCACTTCCAAATAATACGCTTGGTTAACTGTTTGTCCAGCTGGTACAAACTCATAATGAATAACAATATCAAATGTTTAGCAACATTGTTGTGATGAGTTCAGGGACTTAATTGTCAGACCTCATATTTACAGCACCTTTATTTCTAATAGCAAAATACTGGGAAAAGCCAAATGTCCATCAAGTGACTATCAACAAACTGATATAACCAACAATGTACTACTTAGTAAAAAGGAATGAAGTACTGGTGCACACAAAATGGATCTCAAGATGATGTCCAGCGAAAGTAGTCAGAACATCTGCTTTATGATCCCATTTATATACATTTCTACAAACGGCAAACCAGTGATGAAAGATCAGTGATTGTCTGGGGAGCTGACAGGAGGGATTACAAATAGGCAGAAAAACATTGGGGGATCATGGTTTATTACCTTAATGGTGATGATGGCTTCATATGTGTAAATATCAAAACATCAACTCACACTTTTTTAATGTTATCTATTTTATCAATTTTCTCAATAAAACTGCTTAGTCAGTTAATTTTATAGGTTTTACTCCAGTAGACAAGACACACCCACAAATCCATGAGCTAAATCTATCTCAGGTTTCTGCTGAGATGAAGGGCAAAGCCCTTAAACTTCTTGAGGCCCTACTCAGGGGATCTGAGGTCCACATCTAACATCTTTAGGGCCTTTGGTCTTTATTCAAACTCTTATAATTTCTCTATATTCATAATGGAAACCAGAACATATTCAAGTTTAGACGAAAGCAATTTTTTAAAAAATGACTGTTTAAGCTCTTACTAGTCCAAATGCTGATTCAAAGATAATTTTATTCTACATAGTTTTAATTTTCCTAGTATGATTTTTGTATTTTGTGGCTATTTAACCCATTAACTGGTTTAGGGATGGATGAATTAATATATCAGTATTTCTCAAAGTGTGCTTATGATCTTCTTGTACTGAATCAACTTGAAATGGTTATTTGAAGACCCCATTCCACAACTACTAAAATATTGTGAGTTGGGAGAAAACTGGGATTAGATCAGAGCTGCGGAATCAAACAAGCTCCATCAATTAGACACACAGATACACTCAATGCCTATACACATACAAATGCAGTCTCCTAGCAGCTTCCTAAGGCAGCCGTTTCTAGGATTAAAATGTTTATCAAAATAAAAGGTTCCCATTATTTATTAAGTGTAATTTTATTCATAACAAAATTTATTTTTTCATATATACACTAAGAAAATATTTATTTTCTTAGACATATAAAAATAGATATATTTACATATGTACAAAATATTAAAACAGATATTACAACAAAAGCAAGACATACACACTGAAAACGAGGTTAAAGGTAACAAAACATTTAAATTAACAGACACCATAAGATGATATTTCCAAGATATTAATTTGATAAAGCAAATAAAATGTCTCAAATGCTAATAGATGGTAAACAAAATTTTTAAGATTTTCTAGGTAAAATTACATGGATTTCCTTTACTATAAAACCAAATCAACTTTTTGACCTCTGAATTTGACAACTAGTTTCATTAAAATATTTAAATTTTCTGATGTATACTGAGAATTTTTAATTTTTTTCACATTAAGTTGTAAAATATTTTAAGAGGTTGTGCATCCTCTACTTACCAGGGGAAAAAACTCCCATGTACTACATTGATAACATGAAATCGAATATTTATTTTTATTTTTCATATTAAAACCTAACATTTTTTGACTAACCTTCACAATCAGTTACAACAGATTTAATTACAATCGTCGTACATTCTTTTTGCTTTTCTTAGTACCAGGCAGAGGACCCACTTTATGACTGGCTTTTAGAGGCTTGCCATTTGAACAGTCTTTGGTGGTATGATAATTACACAGACACCTTGTACAATAATCAAACCCACAGCCTTCTCGTTTGCAGGTTGCCCGCTGTAAATAGCAATCGTATTTTGCAGGTGAATTACAGCGAATACAAGCTTTGAGGCTTTCATTCTTTTTCAAAGTCTTGGCAACCTAGAAAGAAGAAAATCAATAAACAAAGTTTTTAGTAAGAACTGAATGTAATTTAGTTAGGAAAAGTAAGAATGGCACCTGTGTGCCTTCTCCAATACACGTACAGCACCAATGTCACAGGAGACAACTCCTGCCCTTAAGGAGCTTATTGTTCAATGGTATGAGAGATAATATCACTTATTAACTGGTCCAGCAGCAATTTCCTAATGCTGCTTTTAAACATAATCCCTCTTACACTTCATGAATGCTACTCACACATCTATGCCTAATTTAAATGGCTACTTTTCCTGTGAAGTCTTCCTAGTGTCACTCAAGAGTTGGCTGCTCTTCTACCTCTAGTTTTATCTCTTTAAAACACCTACCACATTATATGGCTTTTTTTTAATGGAAGCCATCCTCTGGTCTAGCTTGCTAAGGCTACGAAGGTTACCATGTTTTCTTATCTATGCGGTATTTGATAAGATAGCAGATGCTCAATAAATGCTTTCTGAATAAACTTACATGTTGTTAGTCATTATATCATAAACAAAACAGAAAAACAAATTTTATTATATATAATTTATATTTATTGACCAACATGAGGCAGTCAGCATTTTATGTCAAAACATGCACTCTTCTAGGGCCGGCCGAGTGGCGCGTTGGTTACGAGTTAGCTTGGGATGCCGGCTCTGAGTAGCAGGGCCCCCCTTTGGATCGCACATGAGGGCCAGTGACGCTGCACCCTCTATAGCTAAGATGGTGAACAACAGCTCGACCTGGAGCTGGGCTACCGTGAGCAGCCGGTGAGCTGCTGTAAACCGCCAATGGCCAGCCAGCGACTGCCTCACTTGGGGAAGAGAGCAATGATAATACCAACATGGGCCAGTGAAGCGATGTCCTCCACAACTAGACTGAAGAACCAAAGGACAGCAACTTGTCTGTTCCCCTTCCCTGGATTCCCCAGTAAAAATTAAAAAGAAAACAATATGCAGGCTTCTATAAGATTATGCTTTTTAAAGTAAGCTTGTCAAGTTATGCACACAAGTAGAACTAAATACACATTACCCAATGATTTTAAGGTACAGGGCTTCAATATCTGAAAGCTGGCCTTTTTCTGCTTAGCTCTCTTCCTCAGATACTAAAGGCAGCAATTGTGAAATGTAATATTGAACAGTTTTATAAATTTTAAAATTTTTCATTATTTTCCTAGTGTTTACAAATTAGATCTCAACATCACTGAAGTGTCAAAAACAATGCCAAATGTTATCTATTATTTTCAGCATAGAAAGACATCTCTGTACTTTCTCAATTAGTTGAGTTAAAAATGCTTACTTAACTTCCAACATTTCTGAAAGAATGAAGGGGACAGAAGATAAGGTATTCAGTAATAACTCCTTAATAGTTCTCATTATGCTTTGATTAAATTTAAAGTTCTCCATTTCTTACTTTAAACCCTTTTAACAACAAATGCTCCATGATTCTAATGTATTGATAAACAAAAAATTACCTCAGAGAATTCATTGTGCCGACTGTAAGTAGAATCTTTTTGATCACCTGGATTGAATAAGTTGATTTGAGCATCTTTACAGGGGGGAGTTTGGGCTGCTGATTTCTGAACAGAAGCCAATGGGGTTCTGAACATAACATTTTCTCTGGTTGAAGCATGTGGTGAAAACTTAATGTTCTTTTCCTAATTAAAAAAAAAAGTTTTAATAGAACTTAAAAATATTCTGCTATAGTCTCAACAGTCAGGCATTCTTATTATGTTTGAATACATAAAAAAGGGCAAATGAGAATACAAACAACTTATCCCTATTTCCAATTTACCTGCGCATGCTTAAATGCAGCCACACAAAACTATTCACATAGGCATTTCAAGCCTGAGCTACTGACAGAAATTACAAACAAGAAATTGTGAGAAGCACTTTTCATGCTTAAGTCTACAGAGCACTGAATACATGGTTTGTTACATAAAGCACTACTGCCAGAACAAAGGGCCGTTCTTCCCACCACCAGTAGATGGCAACGGTCATGTTTAAGTGTCATCTCAGTGTCAGGAATCGATTCAAAACCTTTTTAGGTTAGGAAATTTTCCATTAACACCAGCTTATCGATAAAGAAATTAAACTTGGAGAATTAAAGCAATACCTGTCTAAAGTTAGTTAATAAGCAGCAGCACCAAAATTTGGACTCAAGTCTGCCAATTCCCAGGCCTGAAATTTTCATCATACACTGATCTTGAAGTTATTTTTTAAAGTAAATGAATTCCCTTCTATACTAAGAATCATCAATGTTAATAATTTACTATTTATCTGATAACTGAAAGAAACACACACAAATGGCAACCAAGATTAGCTATATGATCAACTCGCACTATGTGAGAACTGAGCAATCTTCCCTTTTTTACTTTTGGAAATTCCATTTGTAGGAATAAATGAGTGAAGTGGAATTCCTTTCCCTTTATCTTTTTTTTTTAATGAGTTGTAGTAAAAGGCTGAAGTGCTTTTTGAATATAAAGAAGGGTTTCCAGATTACCTGTTTTCTATTTTTCCCTCCTATTCCTAAAGGTAAAGAGCACTAGTTGCTATATTTTAAAATGAAAACATCACGCAACAACTTACAGTAACTCTTTGTATTGCTTTATTGTACAACTGCAATGCCCCCTTGTCATCTTCTAGAATCTTCTTCCAAGTTGTGCTCACTTTAGACACACTGGAAAAGTAAATGATTATAAAGGAAACAATTAAAGCATCGCAATGATCTAAGGTAAATACATTACAGAAACATTAACAGTGCAAAAGAGAAATTTCTATTAGCAGTGCTTCTCAAACATGACTATACATTAGAATTGCCTAGGGCACTTAAGATTTAAGGATGCCTCATGTGCCTAGTCTTTTGGGTTTAACTGGTCTGAAATGAGGGTCAGGGTTCTGTTTGTTTTTTTTTAAAGCTCCCATCAAGTAATTTTAAGTGTACCCAGTCTTAACAACTACTTATTTGTACTTCATTTTTTCACAATATTTGCAAACATTAAGTAGCTACCACTGTATATTAGGCACCACCTTAGTGGTAAATGTTGTGGATAAATCTCCAAGTACTCTAGGACAGACTGCTGCAGAAATCAACTTTAAAAATACACCTTGTGAACCAAAAAGTAGAACCTGTGATGTTGATTATCCCTCAAGAAGCTAGCCAACAATAAAAATCAAGACTTGTTATCTATTTTGCTTTAGGTATATATTTCATAAAGACCAGTGTAAAGTAACACTAGCAAAGAGCACTTCTCAATTAAACAATGCAAGACTACCCTGCTGTTATTGCATGAGCTGGTGGTGCTGTGTGAGCCATCTAATGAACATGCTCAGTACATTATATTAATACTAATAGACTCAAACAAACAATACTTACTTGATTAAGTCCATATCACTGAGCTGTGTTAGAATATTTGCTAAGAGATGTCTGAGTCCCCTTCGAAAGAGTTCACTGAGAATATCCACACATTCTAGGCCCATTTTCCTGCCAATTATATTCTGTAGTCTAAAATTTACATTGTACTCCTTCAGCTTCTCCCAATCTATTTTAGGATTCCGTTTGGTATTCTTTTTTAATGTTGAACAAACCACTTTTGCAAAATGAAGAGCTGGCAGCAAGTTTTTGTTGGGAAATTGGTCTGGGCTTTGCGTCAGTAGCAGGCAAGACTGTGGACTGTCACTGTCCAGGGGAAGCCCAGCTTCATGTTCACTGAGGACACTTGGCTGGGAAAATGAAGAATAGCCACTGTCTTCACAAGGTCCACTGGCCTCTAGTTCTTCTATTTCATTTGAACTAGTAAGTGATGGTTGCACATGTTGATTTTCCTTGTTATGCAAGGGCTTGCTCTCAGTTTCAAGTTCTACAATCCTGGGGCTCACAATTGGTGACCCAATATCTGATAACTTTTCATAGTCTTTAATGCAGTCTTCATTAGAGCCTTCCAAACATGAAGAAATGCAGGAAACTAGCCTTCCACTGTCATCAGGTTTTACCAGTTTAAGTCCAGAATGAAGATGGTTATAGTTAAAATCACATTTCATTTTGACAGAAAGAGTGGAACTTTCTTCCTTGCAACCTGCAAAAAGAACGTATTTACTTTTTAATGCAAAATTTTTACATATCCTTACATCTTAAATTGGGATATACAAAAATTTAATTACTTTACATTCTCTCAGCACTGTGTATTGCCTATGTAACTGTAAATTATCCAAGTTTCATTACTGAGATGTGACATGAGGAAATATTACTTAAATCTTATAACAAGTATACATATGTATCTTATTCTTGAAAGGGTATTTCAGGACAGTTTGCTTTTAGATCTGTATAACTACATTTGACTTTTAAAGTCTATACTGATTGAGTAAAAAATAATTAAAAGGGACTTTAATAAATACCTGTGCTTAAGGAACAAATAAGGAAATATGAGGTATCAAGAGCGGTCTCAGGTCAGAGAGATCCTTCTAGTAATCAAATACTTGTAGAAGCAGTGTTTATAACCTGGACTTGAAACCACATTTAGTTAGTTTTGGCTTAAGCATCAAACCACTGACAGTAAATATGGTTAAGACTAATGGGGGGAGGGGAATGTATAAGAGTCAAATAGTTTTGAAAAAAATAACAAAAAAAACTTGTGTATTTAAACATTAGCTATTATTATAAGCCTTAGGATAATTAATCATAGGTAGCTAAGAGAAAGGACTAAAAAGCTGATAAATTTAAATACCCATAAATTAAAGTCTACTTGAACTCACAGAGCTCTCATATCCAAGTTGTTTTCTGATTGATGCGCAGGGTGACAGTCTGATATATTTAGGTGTTTGTCTACGCTACTGGATAGGAAGCTCAAGTACAGCAATATCTCCCTATGTCTTGCCTAATATGTACTAGAAACTCTGCTATCTTTAATTACTGAATAAAGATTTCTCATAACTAATGAAAGAACCAGAAGAATTAAAACTTCAGCTACCAATCATTAGACAGATTTGGAAAATAAGAATGACAATCCAATCAGCATAAGTCCAGATGTAAGAACGTGAGGGCGGTAGGGCAGTGGGCGTGAATTCTTGTTCAGTTGTTTTAAATAACTGAAGATAATGATACTTTTATTTAGGTAAGTAGCATAATGAGGAAAAACAAGTTATGATGCTACTAACAAATCACAATTATTTCTGGATATTATTTATTAGAATTCACAGTTACTGATTCAAATTTGAGCTTCAAAAAAGCCAAAAACCACTCCCACGGCCTTATAAATCAATTGAAATATCTTTAAAGCAGGTTTTCTCAGTCTCTGCACTACTGACATTTTGGACCAGATAATTCACTGCTGTTAGGGGCTATCCTATACATTGTAGGATATTTAGCAGCATTTGCCCATCTGATGCCATTAACAGCCCCTTTCCCCTAGCAGGACAATAAAAAATACCTCCAGTCACCAGTTATTGCCACATGTTGGCAGTCGGGGGAAGGCAGCAGCAGCAAAATCTCCCCAACCATTCAGTTGAGAATCACTGCTTTAAAGAATGATTAGGATTTTGTCAAGCAGTAGAGGCTGGAAGGACATTCACTAAAGGATAGTGTGAGCAAAAACACTGTTCTCGGAAGGAATATATAGAAACGGGTTTAGAAATGCTGCTCAGCATCACTGAAGGTAGAGTATATGAACAGTATGTGCTTCAAATGTACTCATCTACTATCCCCCTACAAGCTAATAGGTAGTTAACAATTTATCCTATAAGTAAATGTACTGTCCTTACTTACATATTGGTAATCTCTCCATATTAATTTTACCATTTCTATTTAGAGCAAAAGCTTTAAGTCAAAATACTAAAGGGCACCTTGATAGAAAGTAACCTTGTAGGTAGAGATTCTCTTTAAATTCCCAATGACAGTAGAAGACACAGCATGTGCTCCAAGACCCTGCTAAACCTTGGACTAATCCTAAAGTTTAGGTTTAAGCTAAGAGTTTGGGGCATGAAAATAAAGAATATATAAACTCTAATCCCCCAAATTAACCCTAACTCAAATTATTGGGTTGTCAGAAAAGTCATGACGTATTTTTTCTGTTTTTCGTTGCAAAAATGCGTCATGACTTTTCCGGCAACCCAATATTTTGAGTGGTTGTCTTCCACTCCGAAAAAGTAGAATATTCTGAGAGATGGCTTTTATTTTTGTCTCAAGTAATGAAGTACGATTTACATATGACCACATTTAATGTGAGAGAATAAAGAAGTAGAAGCCCCCTACAAAGACACACCTTTTACTTTGTTTAGCTGCCTAAAGGGAAGAGGCCTGAAACTGTCCTTATGAAACTCATCTTTTCAAAGGCATTCTTCTGTTTATCGTTTATTTTTATTATCCTATCAGTTTCAGTTGTACAAAACAATGTACTAGACATTTACACCCCTCACAAAATGATAACCCCTCTTCTGTTTGTCTTTAGAACCCAGTTACTGGAAGACTATCCTATAGAACCACTTTCATTCAATTTTACTTAAATATGGACAGTCCTTTAAATGTAAAACGAATAATGATTCAAATACCTTCTATTTGTTTAGAAGCGTACAATTTCCAATTTGTTTCCACACACTTTTGGGAAGTGAGATAAAAGTGTGTGTGTATATAGTGGGTCGTTGGGAGTTATGACATATTTTTCTGTTTTTCAATGCAAAAATGCATCATGATTTTCCCAACTATCTATCTATCTATCTATCTCTATATCTATATATGTTATATATATGGACTTTGGTTATAATCCAATATATTATTTTGTTGTTGCTCAAATTGTTCTGGCTTTCCTATTGTTAAGTTCATGTCCACTTGACAAACATCCATTATTTTGTTTTTGGAGCATTCCTTATTTTCTGGCACTATGAGATACTCTAGGATTTTTATTTTCCCTGTTCCAGACTTAGAATCAGTGATTTCTCCAAGGAACTTGGGTTGCTTTTATTGGTTCCAAAATCTGGATACTGGTTGTAGAGTTAGTTTTAAAATGTGAAATTATGTAATGTACTTTTAAAAATCTCCATAACAATACTGCAAAAATAAACAAGTACCACTTTTATACAAAGTAGTCTGTTTGTAAAAGGCTAATTCCAGGTCTTTCAACTAGTTCAGTGCTTTCCACTGACCAAGCCAAATATCCCTAAACAATTCAGAAAACATATTTATATAATTGAGCTGACAAAAGGGGGAAAAATATTATGTGGTTTCACAACCTCCTGAATCAGGCTGATAAGAGTTCAGAGTCTAGTTCTGCCACTTCATTCATGTATCCAATGCCTGCTTTGTGACAGGGTGTGGAGAAAGGAAGAAATGAGTCAAGGACGATCTTTTGGATGTGACATTCTGAGATCTGAAAGCCTTGTGAAAATCGGGTGGGGGAGTTCCAGACTGAAGGAAACACTAGAAGCAAGGGCAAGTGTTAAGTGTTCAAGGAAGAGAACGTCCTGTAGCACTGCAACTTAGTGAGCTAGGAGGAAGAATGACTAAAAAATAAGGTTGGAGAGGCACAATGGTCTATAGGATTTTTAGGGTAGGATGGATTTTATTGTGTAATAAAGAGCCTTTGAATGGTTCTAAATAGATATTTGGTTTACACTTAAAAAAAAAAAACAAACCATTGGTAGCTGTGGAGGCCAGACGGTAGGAAGGTACATGTGGAAGCTAGGAGGCTAGTTGGAAGTATGTATCACAAGAGTCCAGAGAGTTGGGTACTTGAGACTTGATGACCATAGTGGAAATGAAAATAACTGAATAGATGTGAGATCTATTTAAGAGGGTAAACAAAAATCAACAGAGCTTGACAATGTAGATGTGGATGATGAAGGAAAGTGGATAAAGAATACAAGAACACCCTAGGGTTAAAGATTTGAGCATCTATAGTGTCAAGTGTCATTTGCTGAGTTGGGGAAAACTGAAAAAGTTAACTCTTTCCTCCTCTATAAAACGGGGGTGAGAAAATAAAACTGAGCTGAACTCATGAGAGTCCCTGCCACATATGCTTTAATCAGTAGAATCTACAGTATTTTCATCACATTCATAAGCAAAATCCCTTCATATTCCTTAATATTGTATGTTATGAACATTTGAAAATCCTTGCTCAGCCTTTTGGCTAACTTTGTGACCTAAAACAGTCAGTCTCTTTCGTTTTCTCTAAATTGGAGATATTAATATCCACCTCATGGAGTTGGTAGATTGAATATACTGCACTGTTTAAACTTCTCACTTATAGTCCAATCATGAAAATGAGATTATAGTTAAGTGTACAAAGTGTAACCTTCTATTTAATTTTTTCAATATAATCTGACACTCCATATTAAATACAGTGCTGTAAAATGTTTACAGCTATTCAATGTTAAATAAATTCTACAATCTCTAATACCTTCACTATATCCAGCATGTGCCCAATATTAGGCATGGCTAGTCCTTCAAAAATTTAAAGAGAGCCCAAGGCTTGCCGCCATAAACTGCACACACTCTCTCTGAGAAAAAAAAATTTTAAAGCCTACTTTAAAAAAATATCTGAAGGCAATAAATTTTTCACTTTAATTTCCTCAAATGTGTAAACAGGAAAAATATTCAAGAGGACTGCAGATATTACGAGGAGCCAAGGTGTAAAGAGACAATTGGAGTTAAAACAATCAAAAGATCCCTTCTTAAAGCCATCAAACTTCAAAATTTCATAGGAAGACTTATGATCTTCTAGAAATAGACATAATCTGTTAAAAGTAAGTATTTTTCTTTCTCAAGTTTCCCAGATTCTTTTCTAAAGAAATGAGATTACCAAATATTCCAATATCACATTGCTAATTTTTAAAACTTTTGGTAATGACAGAGTTAAAATAAATGCATTTGGATTTCTTTTAGAGATAGCAATAGAGGGTAAAAATAAGCATTGATGTGACTGCTTTATTCCATCCAAGTTTGGAATAAAAAAACTAGTGATTCAAGGAACACAGCCAAAAATAACCAATTTTTCAAATCTCACAAAATCAGCTAAATTAGGCCCAAACTCAAGGGTCTGTACTAAAAACTGCTCACCCCCTTCTACCCTTCCCCCCTCCCAGCTTGATTCCAGGCCTTGAGGCTGAGTTACTGAGTCAAGGGGAAAAAAGGAGAAATTTAACATTTTTGTTTGGATGTCCCAAAGTGATTGGTCCGATGGGAGGGGTCCCTCCATTTGGCGGGAGTCGATGGGGGGAAGACCCTAGAAATCCTGAGGGGTCGCCTGGGTGGCCCCTCAGGGCGCGGGCCCGGCGGAGGAGGCGGGAGATAACAGCGGGCTGGATCTCCCGCGCCCGCCAGCAAGGCTGAGGTGGCGAAACACCGGGGAAGTTGACTTCGGATCTGAGGGTGGGGGACAGGTACGGCAAGGGGCGCAGGGAGGGGCGGTCAGACAGCTGGCCAGGCTCTGGGGGCCGCTGGCTTGCAAGGCCTGCAGAGCTGGAGCCCCAGGGT